TCGGGTCGATGGCGTAGTTGGTTATCGCATCTGTCTAACACACAGAAGGTCCTCAGTTCGAACCTGGGTCGACTCATGAAGGTGATCCTCCAAATTTTAATTACGCTGTAGAAAGGTCAAGGTGCCCCCCTCAAAAGAACAATTTTACCAAATCACTTACCTGGAGATGGAGGCACGACCTTCCACAATAGTGTTCCAGGTGAGTGAGGAATATTCCTCCAGCAAACGCTTCATACCAAAGAACGCGGCCTTGTTTCCTTTCACTGTTAAATTTTTTGACTGGGTCTACTGAAGAAATTTGTATATACCTTTTTGTTATCACTACTTTGCAACTATGTACAATACGCGGTTTCCAGGAGGCAACTAGCTACCGGTCAGTGAGCCATACCATCAGCTCCTCGATGCTCGGTGGCGAGTCGCCGTAAAGTACGGTTGAGCGCGAGGTAAGTGATCGCAGTAATCAGCTACACACATTCCCTCTTAGCTCAGCGGTAGAGCGCTTCACTAGTACACACGGTGGTGTTTGGTACATGAAGAGGTCAGTCGTTCAAGTCGGCTAGAGGGAATCCGAAGTTCTCCAGCTCTTTTTCTCCAAACAGCAAACTTCACTATGTCAAACCAAAAGACATGCGATGTCATTGATCTTAACTTTCTTAGCTAGAAAGCTTGCATGTATTCCCGTGCGCCCAGATGGTTTCTAAAGCCTTAGACCGTCGACGCATGAACCAGTCTTGTAGAAATTAAGAAAGGTACAGAGGGATATCAGCCTTTAAGCTTCAAGTCTGACGATAGAAATCGCCAAATAAATTAGCACATCCTCCGAGAGCAAAAGCATTGAGGAACGAATCCATGGTATCCAATCTGTCCATTCATGGTATCCAAACCTTCATCGGGTGTCGGGGACCTAGCCATGACCGTCCTAGAAGGGAACTCGGCTGTATATCGTGCACAAGCACCCTCGCAGCCGCGCCACTTAAGCCACTCAGCACAATGATACGCGACTGTCCGTTTAGGACACTGTTCTCCAGCTCTTTCACCGGATTATCGCCTCCACGGATGACATGAAAGTAGCTGTTCCCGACTCGTACTATACGTACCATGGGAAAGCCGTGTCCTACTACCGCCGAAATGTTGCGCAGGGGCAACAGGTCGGGCAAGCCGATGCATCGCAGCGACGGCGGGATACCAGGACGAAACAGATTTTTTGTGTCAGCTCACAGGTTCGAATCATGATGAAAGAAACTTCCTCGAGGAACGGGACAGGGTCCCTCGACGAAGAGGGAACATGTTCCAACGTCAGTCACTTCTGGGAATCAACAGCGCCGGGAACATCTGGAAGATATGCTATCTTCAAATTCGGGAGGTTGACTAACGATGGCAGGACACCCCAAACAGCAGCGTCGAACCCGACCGCACGCTGCACGCTCTCGTCAGCTGAGAAGAGATCACGGTCGCAGACGCGGCGGTGTACACCCGTGACCGAGAACGAGAAGTTGCGGAGGAAGGGCAAGACAACCCCATATGCGAAATGGGTGACACGGAATTGCTGTGGTGTGGCGCCTTCGAGGGAACAGCGAAGAGAGAGGGATTCCACTTGGCGGCCATTGACGAGGATGTCTGCAAAGAGTTAGTTGTTGACGGGGACGTAGCCTGTAAAATGGAAGTGTGTGAGGTTGTGGAAGGAGACAGGAAGACCCAGTGGGGGTTGTCGAAGTAGCGAGGAAGGACTGGACTTGATTCGCCGTTCCGCCTGATGTGCAGTACGAGAAGTGGGCGAGATGTTTAAACTCGAACAGGAGATCCGTGAGACCATCCGGCGAACTATGATCGATATATGATCGTTCATTCGGCGTGAGAATCTACACATGGTGATGTAAAGCATCACATACTGGATCGAAAGACCTCGTAGACGAGGCGCACATGTCTATAGGACACGCAGGACAGGTGTGATACCTTCTACACCCGCGGAAATATGCACGTTGCGAAGGTTGATCAAATTTGGGAGTGCATTAGTCAACATGCCTGAGGTGGAACGAATCAAGCTCTAGGTACGTTTGGATGGAGACATACCAATCTGAAAGGCCAATGCCCCATCCCGGTCGCGCAGCGGAGAGTATATTCGCAGAGTCCGAACAGCACTCGCAAATTCCTTCTGAAAACCTTGTTCGTAGAGTACGGCACTGTGACACCAGCTTGAAGCAACATGAAAAAAGACGTCGAATGTGTGAAAGCATGTTGTTAATCCCTCCGAGATGCCATTGCAATCGCCTTGATGTTTGAATGGTTGCTGCACCTTTTTGCTCTTTATCTGATAGTAGTACTGCTGCGCTTTGATACGCCTACTCCGGGAACTAGATTTCGACCTTGCGTGGCGCTGTAAAAACACGATCTACATACATAATCGTCTATCGCGACTTCAGAAATCCGGATCATATAGAGATTAGCATTGATCTATAACTTTGATTTCATCTCTTCGTTCTCGAACCACTTCTCTAGTCTCTTGGTCATGTCAACCCACTCAAGTACTCCCCCTTGTCCAACCCCCTGAACCCATTCCCCCGCCTTCCCAAGCTCTTCTACACGTTTCCAAGCCCTTCTTAGTATATCCTTCTTGCAGTACATCTCCTTCTCCCATTTCGGAACTCTTGTATACAAACCACTTCTCTCACCTTGCGCATCGACCCATGCTGCGTTCAAGTCCCGGTCTGATGACACACAAAACTCATACAAGGCGTCTCGGTACTCAAATTGTTCCAAGGCCTCGAGACGATGCCATGCCTTTGCGATCGCCAAAGGAGTGTCGCCAACCTGACTTCTCAGTTCTTCATAGCGCGTCATGATGTCCACGGCCTCTTGCATAGGCTCTAGACTCGCTGGGTTTGCAAATGCATGCAACACGGCCCGTGCTTGTGCCTCGACGAGCGGGAAGGGTGCCACGCGCACTAGCAGGCCAAGAAATGCGACACTCG